GGGGGGGGGGGGGGGGGGGGGGGGGGGGGGGGGGGGGGGGGGGGGGCAGGTGCAATGATGAAAATCAAGTTGAGGCCGAGTCCCAGTCTTCATTTTTCAACACATCTTCTCTTTTAAAAAAATTGAAGATGATCACTGAAGGAACCCAAGGGGTATCTATGGCTTGTAGATGCCATCTTGAGAGAGACATAGGAACTAATGATCAGTAAATAAATGAGGCACAAATCTTCACATGTCAATGTCCTGTCCTGGAGAGTTTGTACAGTATTATTAAAACCAAAAGCAACACTTCCTGACCCACATCTCCCTTCTTGACCACCACCTGATGAGTTTGTCCCCTCACGTATAGGCTGAGCATAAAGACTGAGAAGGCTCCAGGCTCTCCTGCCCAGAGATGGCCATTGCAGCCAAAGACACGGAACCTTCCCAACTCTGGCACAGAGCCACCCTCCACATCAAAGGCTCTGCAGGTGTGTAGATAGGCTATGGGGGGACTGACTCTGAAGAGGCTGCATCACAGACTGAGTAGATGGAGAGAAACCATCTGTGTTTTCATCTCTGTTCTGATGGCTCCTTTTGCCAAGGTTCCTGTAACTTGACTTACATTACATTTGGGTGCCAGGAGTGGCCCATTTACACCTTGGACTGGATTTGGACCATCCTTGCTTTTGCCCAGGTGTTCCCAGCTCAAGGTGCCCCATCAGTCACCTCTTTGACAGGCGGGACGCTCACACACAATCCACTCAGTGTGAGTCTCACGGGTTCCCCTCCTTGGATGTGACACGGGAGGTTTTCATAGCAGATGTCCTGACTCTGCTCACAAGGGTGGAAGGTCACTTCAAAGGGGACACTTGTTCCTGGAGAAATGTAACCTTCTATCGGTTTGATGGAGAAGTCTGGTCTGAAGCGTTTGGCATCCCATCGGAAGCTTTGAAAGAAAAGGAAAATGGTTCCCCTCAGGAGTTATGCACACTCAGGAAACTGGATGGCTTAAGACAGGGATCTCCAAACTTGGCAACTTTATGACTTGTGGATTTCAACTCCTCAGCTAGCCAGCTTCTTCTGTCTTCTTCACCCCCACCCCCCATGCATTGCAAAATGCCAGCAAGTCTCGGGAACAGGCAGGGGGGCAAGTGGCATCAGAGGACAGATGCTGAGAAAGCTGCAAGAGAAGGGCTCCTAACAATGCCACACTCCTGTGGAAGTGGTTTTCCCTTTCCCAGGGCTTTCTGGTGGCTTCTTACGAAAGCATTGATGGGCTCTGATGGGGCAACTTGCTTGAGATAAACCGAATTCAGTCAGGCACCAAGCATCTGCCATGCAAGGATCTAGAATAAAGTAGCTTGAGTAGAAATGACACCTCACCTAGCAGGCAAACTTGCATTAGGATGATGTAAGGCTTGTGGTTTCCATTGGTTAAAATTGAACATGTGTCTCTTCCTTCTAGGTATCATCACCCCAATCAGAAACCTCCAGAGGCTCACATTTACATACTCCAAATCCACAATCAATCAAATAACACACCAAAGCCATTCAATCCCATAGCTAAAAGCTGAGCCTCTAGTTTTTTTCCCAAATCCCAAAAACTTTAACCTTTGACTGTCTACTATTGACCTCACCCCTTTCCTAAGGGGTCTGTAGGGGGCATAAGTGCACCAATGTGCCTACTGTCCCTGTCCTATTGTTTCTTTTATATATTTTTCTTTTTCTTATATGTATCCATGTATTTATAACTATGTTTTTACTTATACCTATTATCTTGTAAGCAATTGACAAATAAATTAAATAAAATAAAAATGTTCAGGAAAATAGTGTTTTCACCAACTTCTGAAAAATCATGCAAGAGCTCCACCTAACACGAAATTGGTGTAGAGCACAGGACAGCCATTGAGAGACCCAAAGACCTTATGTGAGAGGAAAGGTCTTCATTGCGGTTGGTCAGCTGGCAGGGGCAGGGTGGAAAGAGAAGAACCCCAGTCATGGTGCTCTTGGTCACCCATCATTGGCCCTTTGAACTGGATCCAGCAGCGGAGGGAGAGCCGGGAAGGTTGTTATAGTTTGGGCCTTATCCTGCTAGGAAGGTTCCTGCACTCCCTCCTTTGGCATCTTTTCTTAATGATTCTATTCCACCATTTCTTCCATATTAATGTAACTTGTCCTGCAGTGAGTTGGTCATGGCAAGTTGGCCACAGAGAGTTGTCCTAGACTCCTAGTTGTCCTAGACTTTCTGAGTTGGCTTCATTATTTTTTTCAAAAACCTTTATAGCCACCCATCCTAAAACCACAACTGTGAGTGGTTATAACAACACACATACAAAAGATAAACAATAAAAACAAAGTGAACTGACCTGGAAGCTCAACCCATCCACACATACCCTTGATGTGAACAACAGCACCAGCTTCTAACTTTAGCTTCACCTGATCCCAGAGACAATTCTGGCTTTTCAAAAAGTTAAGGGGGGGGGGGGCTGCCAGAAAAAAGGAAAAGGATGTCCCATAGAACAGGGGCCTCTGTGAAAAAGGCACTCTTCCTAGATCCCACTTAGATTGCAATATTTAAGACAAGGGACCTGGAGTGCGTCCACCCTCCCTGGTCCAGTGGGATGGGCAGATGCCCTCAGGTAGGTGGCCACACAGACTGCTCTCTGGCAAGGAGGACTTCAGTAATAGCCAGATTACTAGAAGAAAAAGTAAAGGATCTAGAGGCAACTCTAGCTACTCTGAAACTCAATGAACAAAATGAGAAATCCAAACGTAAACAAGAAGATTACACCAAAATAAAATACAATAGGGAACAACATGTTGAGGTAATTCCCCGTTAGGAGAATGAGCGCATACAGGGAAACGTATTTGAGAGTAGTGTTTGAATAATACACACACAGCACACAGATACACTGTACAGTAAATGTAGGTTTTTACTTCCAGAAAGGTTTAAGCAAAATTCAAAAACAAGCAGTCCAAAAGTCATTCACAGGTAAATCAGTCAGGTTTGAATCCAAGGATAATCCAGTAACAAAGTCCAGTGTCAAAAACAGTTCAGTATCAGACTTACATCAAATCCAGAATATCAGTCAATTAGGAAAAATGGAAGAACGGCAATACTTTCCAACAGAAGGAAACAGAGACTGACTCACACTCTCTTCTGAGACTAAACTAAACAACCCAGGTTTCTGGCTCCATCTTATGGCTGTTTGAGAAACCACACCCAATTGCATGGTCTTGCATTCCCTTAAAGATATAGTTTTAAAATGTCTATCCTAGTTTATATATTGTCCAACCCAAATACCTGTTAGGTGACTTATATTCCTAACAGAACAGCTTCTAAAAAAACTAATGATGACCCCAACTATGAATACAAAGAAGAAAATTAATACACCTGAATTGAATACAATAGGGAACAAATAGCTTCTGTAAAAATGAGCCTATATATCGGGGGTGGGATTCTACTGGATCGGGCGAACCAGATATTAAAGTTGCATCTGGTTTGCCGAACCATTATTTCAATCAATCGGCTGGCCCTGCCCACCCCTCCCCTCCCAGAAGTCTCCACATGATGCAGGAAAGTGCAGGGTCTGCATGGAGGCTCTGGGAAGGGGGAAAATGGGCCTTCGAGATGTCCGGAAACAGGCCTGTTTCCAGCTTCCAGGGCCCAGGAAAGGCCTCCAGACCCTTGGGAAGGCGAAAAATGGCTGTCCCAGAAGTTGCGAAATGGGCCTATTTCTGGCTTCCGGTGGGCCTCCAGAGCCTGGGGGAGGCTGTTTTCGCACTCCCAGAGGCTCGGGGGAAGCCTCTGGACCCTGGGGGGGGCAGCCAAAACAGCCTCCCCCAGGCTCTGGAGACCACCGGAAGCCACAGGAAGTTCTGGTAGGCCACGGCCACCATGGCCACACCCACCCAGCAACTGGGCAGCAAACTGATTGCTGGGATTTTTGAATCCCACCCCTGCTATACCTAAAGTGCAAGACCGATGGAAATTTTAGAAGAAAACAACCAAGAGCAAAGCCCCTACTATCTACCCTAGCCCAGTCCACTGAAGCCCCTCTGGAACTGAACAGCTGCTTTCATAGCCTCCCTCTGAATGAAAATATATGGACACTCACAAAAGAGTGAGACTTACCTAGGAGAAAAAAATGTGATTACTGGTGATAGGAGATTCAGTTCTTAGGGGAACAGAAACTATAGTCTGCAGACCCGGCAGTTAGTCTGGGGAGATATATAGTCTCCCTGGAGCAAAAACCAAAGATGTAACTGAGTATCTTGCTAAAATATTCAACTCCACGAATTACTACCGCTTTTTCTACATGTGGGAATCAATGACGCAACAGTTAATCTGAAAACAAGATTACAAACAGCTAGGGAAGAAAGTTAAGGAATTACGAGCACAACTGGTGTTTTCATCTCGACTTCCAACAAAAGGCCAACATCCTATGAGGGAGCAAAGGATTTTAGAAATGAACCACTGGTGTTGTTAACAGAACTTCGGCTTCCGAGACCATGAAGGCCTATTGGAAGGGATGGAGTGAGCCTCATAAGAACTGGAAATAATATATTTGGGAAATGACTGGATCCCTATCAGCAGGACGCTGCCATTCTGTTGGGAGTGGGCCTGGGTGACATTTTATAACCTTTTCCTGTTTCTGGCTTTTCCTTTACTACTTTGATGTACCTTCCTTGGGGATAGGAGGGGGTAAGGATGAGCCTGGGGCCATCTCAGCTCCAGAAGAATGAGCAAGCAGTGCCTCAGATCAACCTAACAGTTTTTGAGCAGAAACTTCAGATGCTACCTTACTCTTCTTGCTATCACTATCACCCAATAAAAGTTCCTTTTGAAATGCCGCTTGTTTCAAGAGTTCTGCTTTCTTGAGGGGAAGAGGCAAGATCTTATACTGGCTCATCTTATCAAAAGGACTTTTAACTAAAATTGAGGGGCAGGGGGCCCAATCTTCATGTCCTTTAGAACCTAATTCCAAGCAAAAACCACTAGATAACCAATCACATAAGGAAGAAGAGTGTATACCTAAGATGATACTGGAAAAATAATAAAAAAACAGATCTGGAAACTTCTAGGAACAAATAAAGTTATAACTAATAGCCAGCGCAGGTTTGTTAAAAACAGATCATGCCAAACCAATCTTATTTCATTCTTTGGCAAAGTGACTAAATTAGTAGACCAGCAAAATGCTGTGGACATCGTATACTTAGACTTCAGCAAGGCATTCGACAAAGTAGACCGCAACCTACTTCTTGGTAAGCTACAAAAATGCAGACAGCCAGCATCACCACCAGATGGATTTGTAACTGACTGACAAACCATACTCAACAAGTAGTCCTTAATGGTACAACATCTACATGGAGGGAAGTAAGCAGTGGGGTACCACAAGGCCCAGTACTCTTCAATATCTTAGGCCCAGTACTCTTCAATATCTTCATAAACCACTTAGATGAGGGAAGAGAAGGGGAAGTCACCAAATTTGTAGATGATACCAAGCTGCCAGGAATAGCCAACATCCCAGAAGACTCAGGATCCAAAAGGATCTTGACAGATTTGAATAATAGGCCCTATCCAACAAAATGAAATTTAATGTGTAGAAAAGCAAGGTTTTTACACCTGAGTGGAAAAACCAAAGGTACAAGTACAAATTGGGTGAAACCAGGCTCAAAAACAGTATTGTGAGATGGACTTTGGAGTCCTAGTGGACAATCGTTTAAATATGAGTCAGCAGTATATAGCAGCAGCCAAAAACCTAATACAATTTTTCATTGTATTAAACAGAGGCATAGAGTCAAAATCACTTGAAGTATTAGTACCACTTTATAAAGCCTTAGTAAGACTACACTTGGAAAAACTTCCGGTTTGCTAGCCTTCGGCGGCGGCAGGGATTTGCCACTGTGCGATCCCTGCTGCGTTCACCGCCAAGGTTCCCCCGATCCATTTGGATCTGGGGGATACAGCTGCCCTGTAGAGGCAGTGGAAGATAGGGGGGATCCGGCAAGGGGTTTGGGGGTGCCACAAACCCCCTCCCCAGCCGGCTAAACTCCCTTTTCCAGAGGCGGAGGAACGGCGGTCAGCAATGGCCGCCACGAAGAAAGCTGCAGCCGGGTAAGCAAGTGCAGGAGGGAGAAAGCTGAAAGAAAAGTGAAAGTTGCTTCTAACTGGGACAAGACGGGAGAAAGTGACTTGGAACCTTGAAAGCTGTTAAGTATCTATTGTTCCTTGCGAGAGTTACAAGCTGTGAATACCTTAAAGGGAAAAGTTTTTTTTTCTTTGTTCGACTCTCCTTCCTAAAGTGACAGTGGGAAAAAAAAAATCTTTTTGGCTGTGAGTGGGAAGGGAGAGTGAAAAAAAAATCTGAGCAAAATTTGAAAATAAGGAGAAGATTGCCTAGAATTGCAAAGAGTTTAAAAACTTCCAAAAAATATATTTGAAAAGGATTTGTGATCACTTTAACCCCAGAAAGAGAAAGTCAAGAAGAAGAAGGTATCTAAAAGAAACAGTCTGTTTGGATTGTTTGGTGATTTTGGAACCTTTGGAAATTACTTCTGATTAAATCATCTGGGTGGTTGTTTGGAAAAACTTTTTCTCTACACAATGGCATCATCTATGGATGAATTGGAACTTATATATCAAAAATTTGAAAGAGAAAAACAAGGAGGGGAAGATGGACTTGGCACTATTTTCCAATACTTAGAAATGGCGGTTTATATTTATGTGAAGCAGAATGAGGATAATGGGGACAAAGAAGAAGAAGAAGCCATCTTTGATGAGAAAAGGACTTTGATTGGAGAAGGGAAAAAGCGGAGTCTTTAAGATCTGGAAAAACAGCCCAAAAAGAGAAGAATAAGGTGAAAAAGGGACATTATGTTAAGAAACAACAGAAAGGGGGAAAGCAGAATAAAAGGGAGGTGGGGAGACAAGGGGTTAAAGAGGACAAGGAGGAGAAGAAGCAAGGGAGAAAGGAAGGGATGAGAAGCCTTAATGGTGGGGAGCAAGATATTAAGAAGCAAAAGTTTTTCAGAGATAATGGATAAGTCTTATCGTTAATGGGATTCTAGAAAGGTACATAAGATTGCATTTTTATATTTGTATTTAGAAGTAATTATAGATAATTAGAAATAATATGTAGTTTAAAATGTGATAAAATATTTAACATAAACAAGTGAAATTTTTGTTAAGAAAAAGGGAGTACTGTAATGAAATATGATTCAAGATTGTGATGTGGGGGGGGGTAATAATCGTGGAAAGCATAAGTGTTCCCACAAAGGCATGATATTCAATTGAAATGGATAAAATGTTTAAGATATAAATGATTGTTAATATTAATAATTAGAAGATGGTATATTAGCAAACCCTTTGTGAAATGAGATTTGAAGTAGAAGAAGGAGGAACATTTCAATGAAATATTGAGCTATAATATGTGATGTGGGGGGGGGGGGAATAATTTTGAAAAATAGGGCTCTCATAAAAGCATGTGATTTAATTGAAAAGTAATGAGTTAAACATCTAAGATATGAATGAATATCAATATTAATGAATAGATTTGTATTATTTTTGATAATATAGTATAATTTTAGAATGTACCAGACAGAATCCCAATGTATGTTATGTATTTTATATTAAGTACTATAAATATAGGGGAAAAAGATAAAGGCATCATACTCCATATAGTGTATAGGAGAAGTACTTCTTCTTTTTTTAAAGAAGAAAAATAAATGATTGGCTGGAATAGAACAGACAAAGAATAATAAATATTATGATATGAATTGAGAGGAGATAAAAAAAAAACTGAGAAAATTTAAAGGAGAGGAGAAGTTATATAGAAAATTGAAAATGTTAAGAAGATATGAAATGGTATGTAAAATGAATATGAAATTGAATTTGTGTCTGTACCAAGAGTTTTAACCCGGGATTAAGCAACTTTCAGAAAAGAGATTTTTTATATTTCTATGTTTTGTGTTTATGTGTATTTATGTATTGTTTGTCTTGAAAAATAAAACTTGTTTAAAAAAAAAAAAAGACTACACTTGGAATGTTGCATCCAGTAGTTTTGGTCACCACATTACAAAAAAAATGTTGAGACTTTGCAAAAAGCAACTAAGACTATTAAAGTCCTGGAGATTAAAACAGATGAAGAATGGTTGCAGGATTTGGGTTTAGCTAGTCTAGAGAGAGAAAAGGACTAGTAAGGATATGATAGCAGTATTCCAGTATTTGAGAGGCTGCCACAAAGAGGAGGGGGTCAATTTATTTTTCAAAGCACCAGAGGGCAGGATAAGAAACAATGGATGGAAACTAATCAAGGGGAGAAGCAACCTGGAATTAAGGAGAAACTGCCTAGCAATGAGGACAATTAACCAGTTTGCCTTCAGATGTCATGGGTGCTTCATCCCTGGAGGTTTCTAAGAAGAGACTGGACAGTCCCTTGTCTGAAATGGTATAGGATCTCCAGCTTGAGCAGGGGGCTGGACTAGAAGACCCCCAAGGTCCCTTCCAGCTCTATTCTGATTCCAGGACCTCTGCAACTACACACCAATAACTCTCAATCTATTCCAAAGAGAGAAGATTGGAAATGGGATGAAAATGCTCCATGGTCTCTTAAGCAACAGAGATGGCATCACCCCCTCCTGTAAAGAAGCATTAGCCACCACTGTGGCTCAACTGTATTCCCCTTCAGAGAGACCTGGGCCAACAATGAGAAGCACTGGCCCAAAACACAGGTAGCAAAATTCCACTTGAATCAGTTCAAACTCCTCCCAGATAATGATCTCCGATACTGTATGTCTCGATCACTTCCAAAGCATCTGCCTAGCCAGACTCCAACTTTTAGTGAAGTCGAGCCATCCTTCCTCTGCCTTCTCCCTGTTTTCATCATCCAGCTTCTCCTTCCCTCCTTCTCCCACTCCCAAATAAAAAGGACATCCATTAACAGGGAACAAAACAGGTTAACAGCTATTCTCCACTGTGGTTGATTAAGGACCTGGACATATTCAGCTTACAGGATAAATGGCTGAGGGAAAATACAACAATGGACTTCAGAACAACCTGAAGTTGACATAAAAAGAGTGGATTAGAAGGCAAGAACCAGTAAGTTAAAAATGCAAGGAAGGAGACTAAAGCTAGACATCAAAAGGATTTCCTGCTGGAGAAAGGGGGACTGAAACCAGACTGGCATGAACGGAGGGGGAAGGGGTCTGGGAGAGGTGAGCTGAGAGCCATGCAGAGGCCCATTTGATCCCTCCGCAGATAAAACGTGTCGGGACTCTTTTAGCATGTCAGAAGAAGCGGCAAGCTGCAAAGCCCCAAATCTGTCCCTATTGTGGAGTCTCCGTACTCTATTCACACTTACGCACCCAGGTAGTGCTATGGAAACATACACCCCCCCCCCCCCCCCCCCCCCCCACCCCAATCTCCATTCTTCTCTCTCCAGAACTCCTAAGGGCTGGCTCCTCTTCCCCACTTTTGTTTCCTGCTGTCTCTGCAAAGGCCCCTATAGGCATCCTTACTTCCCTTCCTACATCCCCCCAACACACTCTCGCCTGTCTGCCGTGGTGGCTGCTACTCCCCCTTCCACTCCCCCTCTATTCCTCTCTGGTCCTGGTGACAGATCTGCACGGACCCCAGCAGCAGGATGCTTTCACGCTGCAGCTTTGCCGTTTCCAACACCTTTTTATAACTTGGAGCCTGTCCCCCTCTGCACAACCTGTCAGAACCATACTCTGGAGCCACCCAATTGACCAAGTGGGTCAATTAAAAACATAGCCCCTTTTTAAAAAAACTGCAGAGCAGCTGCAGAGCTTTAAAAAATGTTTTTGCATCACATGGTGCCCAACCCACAGCCTCTGCAATCAACCTGCCTATCGCTAATCGCACATTGCCCCCGCAGCACCATTGCTTCTGCCTGCCACCTGGTTGGCTGGGGAGTATTGGTCCCATGCAGCAAACTGCCCGGGTGAAACGGTATCTGGGCAAATGGGCAGGGACAAAGGGCAAGGGGGAGGGCCAGGGGCCCATTGGCCATGGCAAATAGCCAGGGCAGCACCAGTGGAAGAAGAAAGCTGGCTGTGAATTGGCTGGGGCGGGTGGCTGGAGGCATGGCCAAGGGTTGGTGCATAAACATCCCATTCCAGACCAGGAGGGGCACAGAAGCCCCCCCCCCCCCGCCCCCCCGGATAGGGCTGCCTGGCTTACCCCACTCCGAGGTCTCCAGAGTTCTGCATCATGATGCGCCGAGAAGCTTGGCTCCGCAGCACCACAGCTCCAAAAGGGATGTGATCCTGGTCCAGGTGGACTTCAACGCCCTGGCAGCAGCCTTGCACAATGAAGAGGGAGTTCAGGACCCCCTGGCACTCGAGCAGAACCTCCTCAGAGAAGGGCAGGATGCGGCTCTTCGGACTGAATGTCACTTCCACGTGACAGGTGCCCCCCTGGGGCTTCAAAGTGATTTCACCACTAGGAGACATAGTGAGCACCTGTCCAAAGACACCCAGTGGAAAAGACGCCATGATGTGAGATGCTCCTCTCCTGAAAAGAGTCCCAACTGGCCAATCTCATGTCCAGCAACACTGCAGGACAGGCAGAGGTTCAACTGGGAGATGTTTTCAGTGGGGAGAAATAGCTGGTCTTCCTCCAGATGCATGGAAAATGATCTGGCTCCAAACAAGTTCCGAGTTTGGGCTCTGCTGGTGCCCCAGAGACCAGGAGGCCCACAGTGCATTTCTCACCCACACTCTTCTACTGCCTCCTGCTCTTCCTCCTTGCCCCACAGAAAGTGGAACTTTTCATGCAGATTTTTACCCCACGGGAGGCCCACCCAGCAGCCCCTATTTCGTCTGGAGAAGCAGCCACTTGAATCCCTTGGGGCAGGAGTACCCACCGGCCCCCTCCCCCTGCTGAGGCCCTCCTGGGCACCATCTCAGGAGGGACAAGTCCTACCTTTGCTTCCTGCAATTCCGGGATGGAAGCCACAAAACTTAGGCTGAATACGACAAATGTGACACTGTTGTTCACTAGTGTGACTCCCTTCTTCACAATGTGCCCTGGAGGGATAGCTCCGAATTTCAGTACTTTCTGGGGAGGCTCCACAACATCTATCTATGAGTGGGAAACAGGCAGGGTTAAAGAAGAGAATAAGTGGAATGAATTGGTGGGGGGGGGGGGGAGATAAGAAAGAAGGGGGAGGAGATCAGAGGGCTGAACCAGGGAGGGAAGGAGTCAATGGGGTCCTGCGCTGGGCTGCTGCATGTCGCAGTCAGGGTGGGGTCCTGATGTGCTGCTTTGGCCCAGCTCTCTCTCGCTCTCTCTCTCCCTCCTCCTTTCCTTTCCTTTCTTTTTTTGAAACATCACAGCACAATATCAGCAATGCTCTGAAAAAGCTTTCTAGGCTCAAATGTTGGTGCTTTGAAGCTGGCCAGATTACTCAGAGATAGCTGCAAATTTTTCTTCAGAAGTCCCAAATCTCCTTTAAAAAAAAAAAAATCAAGCTCCACTTTCAAATCATAAATGAGCAAACTTTTTTTAATTGTGTGCATAGGAGATCAGGACCATTTAGCCCCCCACACCCATAGTGTGGTGAGCATAGTGGGGGTGAGGAGCAGCTCCTAAAAACCTAACTCCTTGCTTTTAATGCGGACTTCTCAAAACTGCAGGAGTAACTGGGCAGGAGGTGCTGAAACCCCCTTTGCCCACTACAGAGCAGCAGGTGAGCAGGCTTGAAGGCCGACTCTCTCCCCCGACCCTTTCCTCCCAGGAGCCTGCCTAGTCTCACCTTCATCTCAATGCCTTTCCCAAAGATCTCTACAGTCTGCTGTAAGATCCCATTTATTTCAAAGGTGACCATTTCATGGTAGGAAATGGCTTCTCGAGGATAGAAGCTGATGGAAATCTCCACTTTTTCTCCAGGACTTAGAGCTGCAGGACGGAAACCGATCTCAAGGTAGGCTGTGTTGATGAACAAGCACTCCACACTTTGAAGAGATAAGAAGAAGAAGAATCTGGCTTTGCAAACTGTATTGGGAACCAATGACTTCCTTGTGTTGCCACCAGTTTCCAAAACTAACAAATCGAAATAAACCAGCATTTAATCCCATGTGTGTTAAAATTAGGTTTATTACCCCAGAAGTGATTTGTCCTGCATTATAAAACACTTGAACACTGACCCCTTCCCAAATTGTCTGATTCCAGGAGAAGAAAGAGGTTGAGACTATGGAAAGGCAAGGAGCCTGCTGGTTTTGAATCCAGCACCTTCCAGTCTTGCAAGTTCTGGCACCTCCAATGGACTTGGGCCCTGTGTTGCCGTTTGGGAAAGAAGAGCCTCGAGGGGGAGAAGCCAACAGAGGAGAGTCCGACCCTTGGGGTGGGAGGACTCCTGGCTCTTGTTCCAGGGAGAACTTTTAATACACTGGCTTCGGTAATCCTCTGCAATAAAGCCATTTTGTGTTTGTTTGGGAATGTCGGTGGACAGACGGATGGGAGGGAGGGAGTTCTGAGTTCATCCTTGATGAGCATTCTCCTCACATAGCCACCTACTGCTCCATCCCACCAGGACTCACCTCAAGAGGCTGCAGCTCACCTGGCTTTCCTGCTGTCTTTATTAGTGATCACCAAGGTTCTCTTGGAAATGGGCATCCCAGCTTGGTAGATGAAACTGTTGCCAAAGTCCACTCTGAGGACCGAGAAATGGATACTGGGAGCCAACACTGAGCCTTGCAACACACATGTAAATGTAGGGCCGTGGCTTATCTATGAAAGAAGGAAGACACAGTCTCAGCAGAGCAGAGCAGAAAAGAGCACCTGGCCGTCTCCAAAGAGGCTTTTATCATTTACACTTTTACGCTTTTATCATTTTATCACTGACAATTTATAAATAATTCCATTGCTGATGGATTATTCTGCACTAGGCTACATCAATGAATTCAACATGTTTTATTTAATAACAAAACATGTTGAGAAATTTAACAACAAAACACAAAAAAGTATATGGTGAGGCTAGCAACACTAGAAACCTAAAAGGTGCAGGCAGTGGAAAGTATCCTCTTAAGAGGGATCAGATTGTCAGCCCTATAACCATCTTAAGTGAGAGTCCACAGGGCTGCCCCGGCGGTGGCTAAGCAAGCTGGGAGAACGGGAGGGGGGAGGTAAAGATAGTGTTGTGTAATTATAACAACATTCTTTCCCTTGGGAGCCAAGGACATCTAGCCAGCACCTGGGAAGGCGTGATAGAAGTTGGCTGAAGTTGGGACGCTGATCTGATCGGACCATGTGATGCAGATGTGGATGCAAGGGAAATTTTACCTGGGGTGGGGAAAACGCGGGGCTTCAAATTCGGGTTTTCCCCAGATGTGTCAATATGACATCTCCGATACATTTATGCTTTGAGGAAGATACCTGCCTCAGAGTTTTAATTCTTTTGGGGGTGTTACTTGGAACCCTGACATTAACCTAATCTCCTTTCAAAACTACCAAGCAGCTCCCTGTCCTGCAGGTCCACTGTCCGGGGTCCTTGGCAGGTGTGGTGGCTGAAGCGGAAGCTGCAAAGGCCGAGCTTCAGCAGGGCGTCCGGCCCAAAGAGCTGGTGCCTTGGCAGATCACACAGATGGATCCTTCCAAATGGAGCGAAGCTACAGAAATCCCACAATCTCAAAAATTGGTTGGAGGGCTGACGCTCCAGGAACCCCAGATCACATCGGGCCGGGCCGAGCGCACCACAGTCTTCAAGTGGAGAGCAATGAGCCCCTTGAGGTCAGTGAGTCTAGGCAGTGGGGCCTCCTGCCACCATCTCAAAGCCAATGGTTAGCCGATCTCCCGGAGAGATTCAGTCAGCTCAGCATGGACAGCATTGCTCAACTCCCTCCAAGCAGCTGGCCTGGCTGGATTCTGGCTCAACCCACGTTCACCTTCCCGGCCCAAGGGAACACAACACTCCAAAGTGGAACACCAGCTTCATTCAACTCGGCTCAAAGCAGACTGCTCCTGAGTCTTTCCCAGCAGGTCCAGTTTACTGGGATAATAGGCTCCACCAGGAGCCTTCCCTAGTCAGCAGCCAGAGCCTCTGAGTCATTCCAGTCTGGGGACATGGAGGCAGACCATAGGCTTGCTGAGGCCCAATAGCCCACCTTGCCAGCCACCCCTCTGACTGCCCACCGCAGACCAAATTCCTCCTGGATGGGCATTCTACCCTGGCCAGGATTGGGTACAGTGCCAATGGATGCCAGTCCCAGTTCCTCAACCTGCTCCAACTCTTCAGCCGGCACAGCCAGCCGCCCTTCCTCCACCATTCAAAGCCACGTTTGATGGAACCCCGAGAAAATCGGTGTACTTCCTGAACCAAATCTGGTCCCATCTTGGTTGCTCTGGGGCTCAGTACCAATCAGACCAGGAAATAATCACAGTGATTGCAGACAGCATGACTGAAGGAGACGCAACCAACTGGATAACCCAATTACACGACAAAGGGGCCCCAGAACTAGAGGATGCCAATGAATTGGTCTAGCTGCTGAGGACCCGATTCGAGGATACTTCCCAGAAAGAAGAAGCAGAAGCTGAAACGAAGGACCTGAAGCAGAGGGAACAGCCGTGAAAGAATTGGTCTGGAAATTCTGGAGAGTGGCAGGAAAACGAAGAAACTGGTCAGAACGCCTTTTCTTTTTTTTTCTTTTTTAAAACAAGTTTTATTAATTTTCAAAACACACAAGTCATCATTATCCATTACATATTTGAACCTTTTTCCATTATAAATTTAACAAGTCAGATGAACTATAATTCTGTTTTAAACCATTTCCATATAAACATACAAAAACCTCTTATCCATTTTCTCTTTATTTCTCTTTTCTCTTATTCCATTTTATTATTATTATTTCATCTATTTCTTTCTGACTTAGTTACCATTATTCTCATTCTATATTTCTGCAAGGTTTCATTAATTCTCCCCCCCAAAAAAAACATATATACACAACACACAAAACATAAAAAAAGATCTTTTTGGAAAGTAACTTGGACCCAGGTATCTCTTTCTTCATGGACTTCAATTGTATTCATGCTCATTTTACATATCATTACTTATTTTATTTACCATTCTAAGTCTTCTATATTAACTTTTCCCCATATTTCACTCTTTTTAATTCTATCTTAATTAATCATCTTAATTTGAGTCATTATATTTGTATCTTTTGTCCATTCTTTATTGTACCTTTGTCTCATTCCTTATAAAAAAAAAAAGAAATTTCTCCTGAAATCACTAATCAGAGTGTGATGCCTTTCTATCTCCCCACTAAATTTATCAAGTTAATCTTTAAAATAACACCCAATACCCAATCCGATTTTGCTTGGTACATTCTAACTGAATAATACATCCAGAATAATTAAATACATAGTTAAACAATAAATCTAAATATTAAAAACAAATACTATAATAAAAATTTTATAATAACATCAATACCATAATCTTATTAGACTCTTTAATTAAAGCTCAATATTCTAAATCTCCCCTCATATTATTAAATTATAAAACCAATCATTATTAACATTTCAACATTTTAATCTCTTATCAACTCTTAAGCCATTTAAGTTTTCTATTTCTAATACAATACTACAATATCATCTTATGTACCTTGCAAAATCTCTTTGCAGAAATTATACTTATCCTTTATCCCTAAAAAAGATTCCTTTTTTTCCCATTTAATTTCAAAACTTTGTAGCTTTTCTCCACCTTTTCCCTTTCTTTCTTCTCCCAACAAACCTTTCTACCCCCCCTTCTTCTAGCCTCTGCCTTACTGGCTTCCCTTCTCTGTCGTATTCCTCTTCCCTTTTGTTTACCATCATTATATTGATTTTGCACCTTATTTTTCCCTTTCTTAAATATTTTTTTAAATCTTAAGTCCTTTATTTCTCTTCCTTTCCCTCTTCCTTCCCTCTTGGTCGAGTTCTGAGATTTATTAAAGATGGCTTCCTCTCCTTCTTCTTCTTCTGCTGTCTTCATCTGTTGCAATGTTTGTTGATAGTTAATGAGCGCCATTTCCAAAAAAAGGCAGGCTTCTTTCAAACCAGCTTTACCATTTTTTTTTTGCTTGCTCATAGTCCCTTCTCAGTTCCTCAATAGAAGGAGCCATTATAAATCTTTTCTTTTCTTTTCTCTTACAACAACCAAAATAAAACAATCCCAAAGTTATCAATCAGTCCAAACCAAGACAGAGTTCCCACTTTCTCCTCCTAGGGTAGTATCAATCAGAAAAAAAGAAAGTCCAAATCTATTTCTTAAAATCTTATTGCAATATATTTTAGTCTTTCAATCCTTAAGGCATCTCCTCCAACAAAGTCTTAGCATACAAATATTTTTTTTTAGTCCTCTCTTTTCCCACTCATCGCTTAGAGCCAGTTTTCACCTAAAAAAAAATAGGTTTCTTAATATTCACTTTTTATTCCGTAGAAAAAGAGGGTAAGCTATCCTTTCAGCACCATCAAACTGCCGCTTTTTTCCTCTTCTCGAAGGTATCATTCAGAAAATCATACTTTTCAGGAATTTTGTTAAATATGTCTTAGAGTCCTAGGAACCAAGAAAAACTTTCTCCTTTCAAGCACTTTCTCCACTTCCTCCTGCGCATTCTTACCCGGCTGCCAGCTTCTTTGTGACGGCCATTACGGACCGCCGCTGCACCGTCCTGGGAAAAGGGGGTTCTGCCGGCCGGGGAGGGGGTCTGCAACACCCCCAAACCCCTCTCCGGATCCCCCTAACCTTCAGCTGCCCCTGCAGGGCAGCCTAGCTCCATACCCGTCCGGATCGGAGCCCCAAAAACGGCTAGCGCGGCAGGGATCGCGCAGCTTCGCAAATCCCTGCCGCTCGCGAAGCCGACAAACCGGAAGACCAGAACGCCTTTTCATTCACCAGTTAAAGTGGCCCTGGACCAGGACTTTAGGCAAGCTTGTGCCTTCAGAGAGATCCCTGACTGCATACAAGACTGGTATTGGATAGCAGTGGCTATGGACCTCGAAATCCACCCTCATTGGAAACTAACTTCGGGGAAATGCCCTTGGGACGTCGGACCAGCGTAAAGCTGGTCGGAGAACTGAAGCCAGCCCCTCCTTCCATGGTCAAGTGCTTCAGATGTGGCCAGTAAGACCACCGAGCGTCAAAGTGCCTAGCCCCATCCCCCATCCCTGGACTCCGCTGAGTTCTAAAGTGAAGAAAACTCCACGGAAGCTGCAGGACAGAGAAAAACTTGCTCGGCAACCTGTTGAGGTTCTTCCCCCAACTTTAAAGGGGGGAGAAACTCTGGCTCCGGAACCCACTCCAGGAACCACCAGCGAGAGCAGCAAGGTCAGTGATAACATCCGAATAGTGGTACCCAGAATAGGGGCCCAGAGGCACATCAAAGCCATAATAGACACTGGATGCACCAGGTGCCTAATTAGCCTCCCTATCGTCCAGAAGCTAGGAATAGACACTTTTTTTGTAAAAAGTTTTTTATTTTTTTTATTGTACACATCTTTTTATGTGACCAACATGTTTCCAGATTATAACACTTGTACATAGTCATACTTTCATTTCCATTAATCTTATATAATATCAGCTCATATTATCCATTTCACTCATCTTTAAATAAATTTGCATTTCATATTTTGGTTCATTGATTCAATATCAATATCATTTCATCCACACATAGGTTTTCAATTCTTTATCCCCTATTATTTCCATTTTCAGCTTACCACCTATTTTATTTTATATTACACATCATTATTATCCTTAAATTTCTCTAAGCCGATATATAATAAATTATCTAAAAAGAGTAAAAATAGAATAAAGCATTTAGGATCTACATGGTATTTTCCATTCCCCCACTTTAATCATAATAAAATATTCTCATTATACACTTCTGATATCCATTAAATAATCAACTGTATATTTTAAAATGTATATATTTTAAAGTGTCCCCTCCAGTAAATCACTAAAATAGCTTCTTAATATATTTCATTTTATCTTCACTTTACTTATAATCATTACTAATCATATTTTTAATTCATTTCCATTCCCTTGTTTTAATCCTCTAAAAATGGTTCATAACAGCATATTTCATATACAGTTCATATGTGTGTGTAGTTATACATTCCTAAGATATTTCCCAGCAAGATATATATTCAATGTGGTATCCCCCTTATAGAATCCCTAACCCTTATCTCTAAATTTTTCAGCTTTATTATTTCTTTTAATTTTAGCCAACTTTCCCTTTTCTAAATTTCCCTGGTCTTCCTTCTTTTTTCCTTCTTATATTTCGCCCATCTTCCCCCCCCCTCCTGTTCTCTTTTTTGAAGTTTCTTCTTGTAGAATTTCTTCTTCTTTTGTTTAATTCTGGGAGCGTTTTCTCTTTTATTTATTAACTCTGTCATCAATGTCATAGTTTTAGTTCCTTTAGTGTCTTTTGGCAGTAACTCTTGTTCTCCATGTCTAAGTCACTTTCTTCTTCCTTTAACTCTGCCTCACTGAAATTTCTTTGTTCTTCTACCATCGCCATTATTTTCTTTGCCAGTATGTCCAGTAATTCCCTTCTTTCTTTCAGCATTCCTCTTACAATTTGCAATTCCAACTTAAAGTCTTTGTTTTATTTCTTCCATTTTTTAAAGTTATTGATATTCAAAGGCTTTTGTTGCAATCCTTGCCAAAAGTCTCCTTTTATCTTTGTTTCCCTTATTAATCCTTCTGTCTCTTTGTAACAATCAACACCCAACAGTCCCAGGAAATTGCATTTGTATATCCTCTTAGTAGAATTTTTCCCCCCTTTTTAAAATTTCCGGGGTTCTTATTATTTTATTTGTCTTTTATCTCACAACAATTATAAGACCAGTAAATTTCCATAAAAATCTGTAGGAAAAAAATCTTTAACCATTAGATGGCGCTCTGTATCACTTTCCACTTTTCAAAGTTCTTTTCTTTTCTCTTTTCAATTATCCACGATTAGCTTTCTTAAAAATAGTCAATTCCAGGCAAGTCTGGCATTTTAGCCCATGCCTAATTAATGCCAAATTATATATATTATTCAAAATTTAGTCTCTAATTTCGTTGTAAATTTTTATACTCCAATTTTGTTTACCTTGTATTTTCCTCTTATTTTCTGTTTGTCGCTGTGATACTCTTAAGCGAGGGCTCTTTCTTTCTACTTCTCAGGGTTGTTAAGAAAAAATCAAATTCTTTTATCTGGTTACATGTTGCTCACCACTTCACCACTCCAGCGCATACTTAGGTCCTGGCAGCTTTCCGTCTTCAGGGCAGCCATTTTAGACTGCTGTTTCTCCCTGTCTTGCAGAGAAGTAATACCTAGCTAGGGAGGGGAGATGCGGTTCCCCTCGACCCAGCTGGCAGTCTCCCCCTCTTCCCCCACCCCTCCGAGGTGGGTCAGATGACTCCTGTCCCTTAGGGACCCATCAAAGCTGCGCACGATTGTGCTCTCTGATCTGTCGTTGACGGAAGCGCCACCGGAAGTCCTAGAAGCTAGGAATAGACACTAAGCCCCTGGGGCGCCCCATACGCTTCAAGCAAGTTGATGGCACGTTAATAGGCAGAGCCCCAGTCACTTTAGTCACTGAGCTTGTGAGACTTGGAGATGGGAGACCATTGGCAGCTCATATATTTTGTGGTAGCCCCAAAAATAATGGAGTCGCTCATCCTAAGTCTTGCTTGGCTGGACAAATGGGTTCTGGCCATCAGGTGGGAAGATGGCTAGGTAAACTAGGACCCCTTTGTACAAGTGCTCATGCAGCACCTCATGATGACACCTCCAACAAACTTATGCTTTGAGGAAGATACCTGCCTCGGAGTTTTAATTCTGTTGGGGGTGTTACTTGGAACCCTGACACAGATATTCTTCCATTTGCAAGCCCATTAACATGTGTAATGTTATGAGAAAGTTTGATCTCTGGGTAAACCAAGATGTATGGGGTTTAAAGATCATCTAATGAATTTTAGATCAGTTATTTCTGAGTCAATTGTCCCTTTCACTTCTTTGTTAAAAGATAAGTCACCCTGAGATCAATGGTTGATATCCTGGAATCTGAGGGTGTCTGAAACGATGGTGTGTTTGTCAGGCTTGTGCAGAAAACATCCCATCAATGAGTGGGACATTGTGGGCATCTGAAGAAAGCACAGCTGGCTGTGGCTGGCTGATTTCTCTGAAGACAGGTAGATTTGCTGTCAGGTGACGTGATTTAATTGGGGTAACTGCCGGAATCCTGACACAAGACTTGGCCACTGCAACACCACAAACAAAAGAGCCACTAATGTGGTTTTGCTGCAGAAAACTAGCTCAGGGACTGCCAAAAGCTCATTTATTTAATAGTTGTTGCAGTCAAACAGAGCATTACTATTTTATATGCCACTTTTTCTCCAAAATCACAGGGGGACTCAGTATGTCCATAAACATAAGTGAGCATGTAAAGGATATAATTGTTATGTTGATGTAATCGCTATAAGTTCACTTTGAATGCAATAACTGCAGAATAGGAATACTGTATATTAAAAAAAACAGCCGGATTTAGCTGGGAGCAAGTCTCGTTGAAGACCAAGGGCATTGAGTAAACGAGGATAGGCCTGGGACCATGTCTAGATACAGTTTCTCCAGAAAGAGACTTCAGCCAGGGGTTTTTTCTCCCCAATATTTTTATACCTCCTTCTTTTTTATACCTCCTTCTTAACACAAGGCACAAACCTACCCTGCTCCTTCCTGCTCCTCTTTTCCCCATAAGAGCCCTGTGACCTGGTCATTCAGAAGCAAAGTTGGATCTTGGAGCATAAATGACTGTCCTCCTGCTCCAACCAGTACTCCTGCTGGCTGGGAGTGCTTCCTTCCTCCTTGGGCCAGGCTGCCCTGTCTGGAACTGGTGCTAGACATCCAGGGGTTCATGGTACAGCCATGGGCAACAGAAGCCTTGGGTTCCTACCTGCAGCTTGAGTTCCATGTCCTTTAAGGTGAAGGCCTTCAGCGGGTGGAAGGAGAGCCTGGCCTCCACCCGCTCTCCGGCTTCCACAGAGCCACTCTCTGGGGAGAGGGCAAAATACTGCCGGAACTTCTTGCCATTGCAGAATTCCCAGGAAAAGGTGAAGTTAAATTTGCCGGTGTTGAGGATGGAGAAGTTGCACTTTGCGTAATCATTGACTTGCATCTGTCCAGAACAGAGAGAAGGTGGTTAGTCGCTTCATCCCCTCCCTCCAGCTGGAAGGTTTGCCAGCCTCTCCTCAAAGACGGCCCTGCCTTGCATTCCCTCCTCTGCCACCCTCGTCCTCCAAGGCAGGTGGTCCTCCTCACTGCCCATCAGGGAGGTGGCCAGACTTCATGGTACAGCAGTTCCCAACCACAGGCCCTGGGAATGGAAGGATGTTCCACACCCAGAGAGAGAGAGAGGCCCTAAAGAAAAGTCCAGGGAGTTTGGGGTTGGGGTTCCCGTGGAGGGAATTCCAGTACAGCCCCTCAGGTATCAAGAGCTCAGCATTTCTGCCTCTGCCCTCCAGGGATGTTCCTCAGAAATGCCGTATTTCGTGAGGCCCTCAGAATCTGTGCCTTCCCTCCCCCTCCAATACACAGGGATGCCTTCCCACCTTCCTCAACAATCCCAGCAGGATGGAAGGAGAGGATGTAAGGGGACACCCCGGGATGTAATTAGACTCCAAACCAAGTTGAGTTTAATAATACAAACAATCATTCAAGAAAATCAAATCTCCTTTCAGGGTATTGGTCTAGATTTCTGTCAGGTAAGGAGGGAATGGTCCCTGTGGTACCCAAGGCAGCCATCATGTCTTCCTTCAGTATCCACCACCACCACAAACTCAAGGACCTACAGAAAAGCTGACATTTTTGGCAAAATTAAGTAGCAGCCTCTGGTACTGCTATATTACCAAAAGTTATTTCAGGCCTCAAATTTTCTTTAAAAATTATTATTTTTCTTACAAAATATCAATGATGGACAGTTGTGGTTGTGTACTTTTGGTGGACTTTTCCATTGATTTGGAAAAAAAGATGAAATTCCTAATGTGCCCCTGAAATGTTGAGGGCTCCTGAAAAAAAAGTAAGCCCAACAAACTTTTAGCTCCCAAGGAGTTCAGACCCTGAGTCCGATCATTCAAGAGGAAGAAGATGACTCTGGGCTACCTTTTGGGATGGCCATGAGTGACGGCTATAAAACCCCTCAATCATAAAGCTTCTAATCCACAAGGTAGAGAAAGAAAGAGATTCTTGGGGGCGGGGGGAGGATTGAATTGGCCAGGACATGCAGCTGATCCTTTTCTATCACAGAACTGAAGATGCTGAGTAGGAAGCCATGAAGCAAAGCCCACCGAAGAAGGTCTCCAAGCTTCCTGCATGTATGTTCAGGCCAGCCCTGCTCTGCTCATGACCCTCTCACCTCACGGAAGTGGATCTGCTTCGGATGCTCAGGGTTCAGCTCTGTCACCACCCCGTGGTTTTCTTCACATTTCACGGAGACATTCATGGTGTGGCCAGTGGCTTTGACATTCAGACAGAGCGGCTGGCTTTTCTTCTTGACGTCACAGAGAAGGTTGAAATTCACTTCTCCTTCCTGGGTTGGTGTGAAGTGGACGTGAATGGGGAATCTGGTGAGAAAACACATTTGTTGGGTTGAGTTAGCTCTCTGGGCCTAGGATCTGGGTGCGTGTCAGAGCCCATGCAGTGGTGGGGTTGATTTCTGGGCTTCTGGCTTGGCTGCACCCGATGGGCATCCCTTGATTCATTATTCTTTGGTGTTTCTACACTGTTTTAATTATTGTTAGCAACTCAGGTAGGATGAGATAAACAGCCATATAAACTGGACGAATGAATAAATTAATAAGTAAATGCCAAATTTTTAAAATGCTGGTCCGTGGTTCCTGAGCACCTTCCAGTAAAAAAGCGGACCTATCCAGATCTGCTGTTGACAGCAAGTTGGCTGTTTACCTCTGTACAAAATCAGAATTCAAGAAATTAAAGAACAAGCATTCCACTTAATGATGAGCACAATAGTTACATCCAAGGACCCTAAAAACAAAAGGGAAGGCCTCAGCAAAATCTCAGGGAGAAAATCCTGTAAAACATTTTTTTAAAAAGAAAAATACAGGTATTCCTTGACTTACAGCCACAATTGAGCCCCAAATTTTTGTTGCTAAGTGAGACATTTGTTAAGTGAATTTTGCCCCATTGTACGACCTTTCTTGCCCCAGTTGTTAAGTGAATTGTTGCAATTGTTAAATTAGTAACATAGTTGTTAAGTGAAACTGGCTTCCCCGTTGACTTTGCTAGTCAGAAAGTCGGAAAAGGGCAGAGGTGGGATTCGCAGGTTTGGACTGTTTCAGGCAAACTGATTGTTAAGATTATGCACAACCGGCAAATCCCACCATTGGCTGGCCCCACTCGCCTTGGCCGGTAGCTATAGAGTCACGCCTGCACCCACCACTCTGGCTCCGTTGCTCGCTTGCCCAGACCATGCAGCCCAGCTGATCTTTGCGCCCGCTCTGCTCACTGTGGCTGCCTGTGAAGGTAAGGCGCTCGGCTGAGCGGCCACCTTGGGGTGGACACAGCAAGATTCAGCTTTTCACTTTTCAGGCCTGGCTCTCACCACCCTTCCGCCCGCTTGCCTTTCCCTAAGGTCGGGGGACATGCCAGTCCCTGGCTCTGGCTTTCCCCGGGGCCTCCGCCCGCATGCCGCTCATTCACCCTTCACGTCGGGTTGGAGGGGGGCACCAACCCTGGCTCTGGCTTTCCCCGGGGCCTCCGCCCGTATGCCGCGCATTTGCCCTTTGCCCCAAGTCGGGCCGCTGCTGTGAGAAATGATGCGAACCCCGTGGGCTGGAAGTTAAGTCTGATGGCGAGGAAGGAAGATCCGCTCCAGGCTTGCTGCACTCAGCCTAAGGACCGCTTGGTGGGGGGGAACACGATGCAGCTAAGCTGCCTTCTGGGCCCAGCTTTGGCTTCTGCGGGGCCTTCCAGGTAGGAGGCCTGAGAGAAAATGCCTCCCCCAAGGGCCGCCTGTTTGCCCATCTGCCAGCCAGGCTGGCCTGGAAGTGGCATGTCCCCTTGTGGCAGGCTGGATGCAAGACCCGAGGCAGAGCGGAGGTTGAGCAGGCAGCAGTCCAGAGCAGGGCCCGAAAGGCGGCCGAGCTCCCCACCGAGAAGCCTGAAGCCACTGCCTCTTTGCCAGCATGAGAAGCTTCCAGCTGCCACAGGCTCAGTTCTGACTGGCAAAGAGGTGGAGACTGGAGGCCAGTGTCTCAGGGCAAGTGTGCCCAGCTGTACCAACAAAGGCCAGAAGTAGCCGCCCACCGTTTCCTGCTGCAAAAACCTTTTTAAAAACCTTGACTGTTGGGCAAAGAGACCCAGCAACAGTGTCGAAGAATCACCATTGCTGTTGCTGCACAAAGGTAAGTCTAAGGTTCTAGCCATCGCCACCACCATTGCAGCTCACCTGTGTCACCCCACCTTGCCGTGAGTGACATTGATTTGGCCATGCCCACTCAGTCACATGACCACCACCCCAGCCACACCCACCTAGTCTTTAGGACAAACCAGTTGTTAAATTTGTTGGATCCCACCGCTGGAAAAGGGGATGGTTTGAATTGTGATCATGTGACCATGGGGATGTCCCAACAGTGTAAAAAATGGTCATAAGTCACTTTTTTCAGTGCTGTTGTAACTTCACTAAATGAAATAGGTCACTAAATGAACTGTTGTAAGCTGAGGACTATCTGTACTTCTATTTTTTTTAATTTTTAGTTAATCAATTTTTATGGCCACCAACTTGCAAATTGCAATTCTGGGAGGCTACATCAGATTAAAAGAGTGCAAAAAATAACCAAACCAGAAATAAAAAACAGCAGTGAGTATGATACATTTGAGGCACCCCCCACACCCCCAGTCAGTCTCCTAAATCATCTTCTTCCCATCCATCCATCCTGCAAGCCAGAACGGGCATTCTATAGCCCCTTCAGCCTCAATTGACCAGTGGTGGGATTCAATTTTTTTTACTACCGGTTCTGTGGGTGTGGCTTGGTGGGCATGGCAGGGGAAGGATACTGTAAAATCTCCAGTCAGGGTTGGTATTTGCCAGTTCTCCAAACTACTCAAAATTTCCGCTACTGGTTCTCCAGAACTGGTCAGAACTGGCTGAATACCACCACTGCAACTGACCATTTGGCTGTCCCTGCCCACAGTGGCCGGCTCATGTAAAGTCAATCAGAAATGAGAAATCAAATGTAAATAAATGTGCCACAGGAGAAGAAGGAAAGTTGGGTCCAGAGGTGGTATTCTGGAGAACCGGTAGCAGAAATTTTGAGTAGTTTGGAGAACCGGTAAATACCATCTCTGACTGGCCCCACCAACCCCATCTCTTCTCTGCCTCCCATTGAGTCCCAGCTGATTGGCTGGGTCTTCTTTGGTTGACCTGTAAAAAAGAAGCTGAACGGAGCTGAAAAGCAGGTTAGTGGGGTGGAGAGGGACTGGGGATTTTGCAGTATCCTTCCCCTGCCACGCCCAAGCCACGCAACACCCACAGAACCAGTAGTAAAAAATTTTGAATCCCACCACTGGCTGGGTCCAACTCTATGCAGTCACTGGGTGCTCCTTCAGTCAGCTGGCAGCTGAGGGAGAGCGAGGAGAAGAAGTGCTTTTCTGCACCTGCACAGCACACCTCTCACCTGGAGCAACCTGAGGAGTTGAGGTGATGGAGTTTGAGGACCTCAAACCAGGTTACATTAGTTCGGCACTCCACAACAGTCCCCTTGTTCATCCCTGCTATAAGCCACACAAACATATCTTAAGCTACCTCAAAGCCACATCAGGTCTCATCCTGAGGGGCTGCTTGCCCCCTTTAACACCCAATTCTCTCTCTCCTTCACCTGGAACGAGGCAGGACCAGCCCTTCCATGGGCTGTACGCTCAAGCAGTTGATTCGCCCCTCTGAAAAACGGGAAGCGTCTCGGAAAGCAAAAGTATAGGCTTTGTTCTCATCATTGTGAATATGGATGCACTCACGAGCTTCATGTCCTGGAAAGAGTGTGGAATTCAGGGAATTTAGGAATTAAATTTCACTCGAGATAAAATGGCTTGGCAAAAACTTGTGAAACAGATCTTAGCAAACTGATTGCAATGTGGCTGCAAAAGAAGGCCAAGGTGCTTTTAAGATGCCCCAGCAGAATGCCTAAATCACAGGAAACAAATGTTTATTCTGGTTTGGAGGGAGGAAGGGAGGGGAGGGAGGGAAGGGAGGGAAGGGAGGGAGGGAGGAGTGGGAAGCGCAAGGGAGGCTCCTCCTCCAGGCGTCCCAATTTAATGTCTGCATTGCGTTTTTCTTTCTGTGGACTTGAAAGAGCAGAAGGTTTAAATCAGCTGCAGGAGCTGAAATTTCTCCTTGTCCCCTGAGGTCTTCTCTGCTTTGTCATCCAAATGATTACAGGGAGTCCTCGACTTAAAACCGCAATTGAGCCCAACATTTCTGTTGTTAAGTGAGACATTTGTTAAGTGAGTTTTGCCCCTTTTTATGACATTTCTTCCCCCGGTTATTAAGTGAATCACTGCAGTTGATAATTTGGTAATCTGGTTGTTAAGTGAATGTGGCTCCCCCATTGACTTTGCTTGTCAGAAGGTCACAAAAGGGATCGCTGCAATGGTCATAAGTGTGAACCAGTTGCCCAGAATTTGGATGCCATGGAGCGTGGGGATGCCGCAAATGTCAGAACTGTGAAAAACGGTCCTAGGTCATTTTTTGCAGTGCCGTTGTACCTTTGAATGGCCACTAAATGAATTGTTGTAAGTGGAGGATTACCTGCACATCAGAATTAAAGTGGAAAGACTGTTTTTAGCAGAGCTGACGGAAGGCTGCCTTGCATGCAGTGCCCCTCGTGGCCGTGGGGCTACCGAAAGGGAGGAGGAGCAGGAGCCCTGGGGCCCCCAAGTCCTCCGGGGCTGCTCTTACCAATCAGAAGCGAGTGGAGATTCAGGTGGACTTTCTCGAAAGAGACAGCCGGGTCAGTTGTGTGGCCCACCAGGAGGAAAGGGACCGTGATGTTGTGTTCGAAAATGGTGAAGGTCCAGAAGGATTCAGTAATATCCAGATGTTTGGGAATGAATTCGAATATGATCTAGAGAGGAAAAGACAGATCCAAAGTTCTGGCACAGGATGGTTCTCACTGGGCAGGATAATGGAATAATTTGGCGTTTTAATTCCAAAGCCTTTAAAAGTGTGCTAGAATTCCAAAACAGCATTTAACTGTTGGATGTTTAAAGGTTAAATAAGATTTAAAATATTACAGTATATCGAAGACTTGGGTGAGTCTTTCATTGCTGTGTGAAGGGCCACAGAGGGTTTTCTACCAGCTGAGAAGCCTTCCCGCCTTCACTTCCAAACTGCTGGAAAGGAGATTAAGGCAGGAGCAAATATCCCAGCATTCCGTATCTGCCCCCCCCCCCCCCCCCTGGATAAGGAGAGCCACAAAGAGCCCTACGATGGGCTGAACCAGAAGCCAGGAATTTCCTTCAAGCCGCCACCGAGGGCTCCAGAGCAGAAGGGGCTCAGAGCAGCCGAGCTTTCTGGGCTTGAGCCCCCCTTTTCACGCACACACCTCTATCTTCTTCTCTGGCCGAAGGAGCCCCCGCTCAGTGAAACAGATGAAGGCTGGGGGAGTCTTCCTCTCCTCCTGCTGCTCACACCTCCACTGGAAAGAGTAGGTGGCGTTGGTGGGGTTCAGGATGGCAAAGCTCCTGCCGTGAAGACAAGGGGATCATAAGGACCACCTAGCCAGGTGTTTCTCTTTCATCACGCTGAAGCAGCAGGCCTTTTAATGTATTCAAAATGAGTCTTTACATAGAGGAAAGAGCTACAAAACTACCCTTCACCAAGAGATTCAGTTCCATTAGTTGAGGCTCAAACTCTCTCCACGTTTTGGCTGGACTGGCACAACATAGTGGACTGGGTGCCTGAGCTCCATGGACACACACCTATCACACTTTTCCCTTTTGTCATGTGATGCCCAGGAAGGAAGAAAGAAACAACATGCTGAGGAATTACAAGCACTGGATAAGAAAAAAAGAAAGGAAACCTTGCAAACCTTTCTCCCTTCATCCAGGACTTTGGGGAATGCCTTTTATTCTTTCTCTCTGTCTGTCTCACATATATGATTCTGGGCAGCTCACAAAATGAATACATTCACACACACACACAAGCAAACTTTAACCAAAACCATACAACAAAAGCCATTACAAACACTAAAAGAAATGGGAAAAAAGACATGTAAACATAACAACCACAATTTGAAAAAGTGCAATCCAGCCTGCTAAAGATGTAACTGTTTAGCAGCATCCATGCTGCTAAGCCTGAATTCCCCAACGAGTGTTAAGGAAAACAAACTAAACAGAATGTGTAGCGTAGTCAGATA